CCTCTTCACACCAGCGTCGTACAGATCCTAGGCGCAGCGCCAACCAGGAAAGGCAGCCACATGACCCGGGGCAAGGCCATTAAAAAAAACAGAGTCACCCTCAACAATTAAACACGTGCATTCAAAATGCCACGTGGCAACCAATGCTCTCCCTGCAGATGCCGCCTCCCTGTCGCACTGAGGTCCGGCAGTCGGGTTGATCGCTGCAGCCTTCCTTAGGCACAAGCTGAAACGGGAGTCAGCTCCCTTCTAGCTGACACATAGAACATGGCCGGAGCACTGAGTGGCCAGCCCAGTGTGACTGCCAGGATCTGTTCAGAAAAGACCCTGCGGCCTCCTCCCTGCATTCTCTCTTGGATGACTTGCTCTGGAGAAAGCCGGCTACCATGCTGTGAGGGCCCTCCTCGGAGAAAGGCTCCTGAAGTGAGGGGGGCATGAAGGTTGCCTGAAAGAGGAGGCGTTCTACTCCCACAAATGGTCACGGCCTCAGAGACCCCCGGGGCAGTGCTACCTGTTCTCCAGGGTCACTGTGGGTCAGCACTGACCCGAAGGCAGTGATTGCACAGCCACGTGCGTGGACCTCCCTGGGGGTGGGTCCTCCCGACCCAGTCAAGTCTTCAGGGACAGCAGCCTCCCCAGCACTTCATCTGTGACCTCCCAGGAGATGCCTCGGAGCCAGCACCCCACCCCACGGGCTAGGCTCCTCCCAACTCCTGACCCACAGACACTGAAAGGATCCCAGGTTCGCCGCTTTAAACCACGAGGCTGGGGGTTACCGGTTAGCCACTGAGAGGGAACAAAACGCAGGCTCTGCAGAGATTGGTGGAAAACCAGGAAGCTGGACACTTACCCGGGCATCCTGGTCAATCAGTTCATAATCAATGACAGAGCTGTCCTCTGCTCTCCTACCCTGCGGGGGAGGTGGGGGGATGAGAAAGTAAGAATGTGATCAAAGGCATTTCTTTGTACGATTAAAATGCACAATGCCAGCCCTTATTTAACTTCCTGAAGAAATACCCCTTAACCGGGCTTGTGAGTGTGTGTTGTTTTGTTTTGTTTTTCTTTACTTTGCAGCTTAGGCAAGACCTAAGAAGGGTCATATAGTTGAGGCAGTGAAGTAGGTGGGTGGCGGTGGGGTGGTTCTCACGAAGGCCAACCCCTCCTTGATCCAGTTCTAGCCTAAGAACCACCTTAGATGATCCACTCCCCCTAAGGGCTAATGGTACTTGGCTTCTTCCAATCAGATGGAGAAACAGCAAATGGTGAAGCCACACCACCCTCTTGGTGCTAAGAAAGGGGGCAAGTCTTTGTTGACGTGGGAAGTGAGGGGCAGCTGCTGTGTGCAGGACGTGTCAAGTGGGGCTAGTGAAGAGGAGGAGGCAGAGAGTGACTGCTTACAGCGAGAGGGGAACCACCCACGTAGAGGCAGAGCATGCTCCCAGGTGAGGGCCACCCAGGTGGGGCAGCAGGCAAGCCGTGGGGACTCCTGGGGAGGACAATTGAGGGAGGAGGGCAGGGGTACAGGGAACCTTTCTACACAATTGACAGCATAAATTTGAAGCAATGGAATTTTTACAAGATCTGTGGGTGGCAGCGCCCAGGCAGGGTGGGTAGGGGCGCGGATGCCAAGGTGAGAACAAGGAGGGCAGTGTGGGCATAGTTGTGCGGGTGGAGATGTGAGGGGCCTCCTGTCATCCCTGGTCATCAGGGTTCCTGGAGAGAATTTCTCTTCCCTCTTCAGGATCGTAAGGTGCCCTGGTGGCTGGAAAGTGACGTGCTGGCTGCTGTTGGAATGGTTGGTGGATTCAACTCATGGGACTCCTCCGTGGGAAAGAGACAGGGGCACTGCCTCCTGCAAAGATGCCAGCGTCAGAAATCCGAGGGGGCTGAGCACCTCTGTCACAGGCAGTCACTGTGGGTGACAATCAACCGGGTGCCTCTGGGCAATAACAAGAGCCACGGCGGCCAAAGGTCTCCCCCTCCGGACCAGGCCTGCAGGGACGCATCCACTCAAAAGAGAGTGGAGCAGGGGTGAGAGACAAAGAGTGCCCATTCGCACCGGGTCCCCTGTGACCTTCCCTAAGTCACGCTGTGAGGACTGCCACCTAAATCCAAGCCAGGACTTGAGGGCTGCCTATGCCTCCCCCAGCCCCAAAGTCCACTGCTCCGTGCAGTTTTGCGGGATAAGAAATCCCATAACGGGCACACCCGCCGTCAGAAACACAGCCGCCTGTCTGAAGCAGGCGCTGAACAGTCAGCTGAACAGCCAGCTCGCTGTCAGCTGTGAGTGGGGTCTGCCACTTGCCCTGAGAGGGATCAAGAACAAAGGGGTACACAGGGGACCAACCTTCGCCAGGGCGACCATCAGCTTGCGGAAGTCGCCGGATGTGTCCGACACGATGTCCTTCTCCAGGTCAGTCTTGTACACTGGGAAGACAACACACCTTGTTTTCTGCTCCCTGCCTGCGCAGCCAACTGCCTACCCAGCCCAGTGACGCGGCCTGGCACGGAGACTCTGACCAGCACAGGGGCTGTGCCAGCCCAGCGGGGCCCACGGAGCCCTCTCTAGAATGACTGTGCCTTCATCAAATGAGTCAATGCCATTTCCAGCCACCAGGGACAGATGGAGCTGCATTAAACCCAGTATCCTCAACCTCACCTTTGATAATGGCCTCGTTGGTGGCCAAATCACTGGTTGCCAACATTTTTTACTATGGCTGTTCTTAATATTAAGAAACCTACAGGACTTTGCACACACATATTCGCATACACACATGCCTTGACTATGGACTGACTGAAGCCATTTACCGTGGCAAATGGCTAGAAAGAAAGAAATAGGGCTCTTGAATGAATTTGTATTGTATGAGTTAAAATAGCATCCGGGATGATGCATCGTAACAACACTCATGCATCTACCCATAGCCCCCATACTGCTCAGAGCGTGTGGGTTCACCCACATCTTCTCAATTTTCCACAGTACAGAGTTAGGAGCCCCTGAACCAGTGGCTGAGCAGCAGTTAATAAAGGACATCTATGCACTATTTTCAAGCTTTCCCTACAAACCCTTTCAAAAGGCCATCCCTCCACCCCCCCTCCACTCCTCCCTGTCTACTCTTAGGAAGAAGTTTGAAAGGAATGGGATTGAAATCCTGGCCGTAAGGTGAAGAAGGAGCCAGATCGTGCCAAATGTCCCTCGGGCGTCAGGATGGAGGTATTTCTGCTCTTAACCTCAGAACCACTCTCTGAAAGGTTGGCATCTGAACGCAACCAGGGGCTCCCCTGGAGAGCCGAACCCCAAAGAAAGCACCTCCATGAAGATGATCCCAACTCTCAGAGACCCTATCGGGCAGAGTCGAACCGCCCCTCTGGGTTTCTGAGGCGCGAGATCTTTACGGAGCACAAAGCCTCGTCCTTCTCTCTCAGGATAGCTGGTGGTTTCCAACTGCTAACCTCCAGGTGCCTGGCCCACCACTCTTCAATCTGCTCCTGCACATTGCACAGCCAAAACAGGAAGCCGGATGGGGCAGTTCCACTCTGTCACACAGGGTCACCATGAGGGAGGATCACACTGACACCCCTACCAGGCAAATATCAAGGCGTCCTTTCCCAAACCCTAGTCCAGGCCACCACGGCGGTTCCCAGAAACCGGCCAAGGCGATTAGTCACAGGGGCAGGGCTACTCACTCTCCTTGTAGACTCTGTTGATTTCGTGCAGCTCCTGGTTGGTCCTGGAGCAGATGATCTCGATGAGGGTGTCCTCATCGGTTCCCAGCCCCTGTGGATCAGGCCCCAGGGCAGTCAGCAGGGCCAGGTCCTCGAGCCCTGAGCCTACGCACCTTGCACTCCCAGATAGGGGCCATTAGCATCCCCATTTTGACATTCCCAATAAGAAATTGGTATGGGGGTTGGTGGGGGGTGGTCGTGGCCAGGGTGAAACATGGTAGCGATGGCATGTGTGAACTCCGAATTTTCTTTTTAAGTAAATGAGAAGGGACAGAAGTGGAGGAAGGTTTTCCTCTTCCAATTGTCCCTCTTTGACAATGGTCACTCATTTATTTTATTTTTACCTTAAAAGATGGGAAATGACTTTTTTCCGTTCAACAACTCTTCTCATTTAAAACAAAAGAGCATCAAATATTCATGCTGTCTTTTGCAGCCGGCATCATTAGATTAGAATACATCTCTCTCTTTTTTTTTAATCAGGGAAAGGTGTAGATAAAAATAAAATTTTTAGCTTCCACGCCTTTGAAATGTAAAATTGGGTGAATGCTAAAATTTTCATTCTTTGCTTACACTCTCGCTTGATCATCATGCACTCTGCAGGCGTTTCAGCGACGCCAACGGCAAGAATGACGCCCCAAACAAACCTGAGCCACCACTCTCTCTCTATCAAGGAGTAAGAATTAATGGGTGATGTATTCAAATTTAATGTATACACTTGTGAGTGTGCCAGATAGCATGAAAGACTCAGTGAAACATGTATTTCAAAGCTGGCTCCGTGATCAAAGTCAAGATTTAATCATCAGGATTCGCTAACACTTGTCTTTCTGAATATGGAAACATCACTTTGAACTAAGCAGAATTACCACTGTCTAAAATGTAAATCAATTATAAGGTGTTCATACAATACGAAACCTCCTGATCCACAGGAAAAGTGTGTCAGCTATTAATTACGCCTCTGAAGAGTTCATGTGCCCCTGAATTACGCCTCGGGTCAATGGTTCAGTTTGAATTTTATTCTTAATCTAATTGATGGGCCACTATTTGTCCTTCCAGAAGTTTGTTGTTGTTGTTGTTGTTGTTTTGAAATCATGATTGGTAGAGGTTCGGATAAAGTGGAAATTACTTGTTAGCCAATGGTCTACACAGCAGTCCATACACGTTACAAAATGATGATCAAATGTCTTCGAGGTTTTTTAAATTTTTCTTCAATCTCAAGGTTGGTGGAAATGTAGTCAAATAAGAACTCCAGAACATAAAGGCATGCTCTATCTAGACACTGCAGCACGCACAAGGGCTAAGGTTTGCCTCCTTCCATCAAGGGCATACCAGTGTGAGACCTGAGCACTGTGGGGGGTCTTGTTTCTGGGCTCTGAGGTGACCTTCACCTTTTCCAAAAGGTGGCCTGAGCTTTCCACAGGCTGCCCACAATCCCCGTCACAGGGGCAACTTTAATTGCAGGTATGATATTGCCAGAAGTCAAGACAGATTTTTTTTTAAGAGTGGTGCAGTTCAGGTCACTCCAAGCTTGATGGATCCCAGCAGGGTCCTCCACAGGGACAGCTAATGGAAGAGCTGGCACCGGGTCAAAGAGTTAGCAACTAAAAGCGCCTTTCACTGGGCCCAGTGATGTAGATGACAACGGTGACTGACCGCTCACCCGAATCCATTTCAGGTCACCGAGACCCAGGAATAGCTGCTCACAAAGCCACATGAACCACAACGCAGTGGATCCTTGAGGAAAAGACGATGAGCTGATCGGAGGTGATGATGGTCAAAACAAGAGGGCAGTGCCGCTCTGGCCCGGGGCTCCCAGGGGCCAGCCTTCAGGGGCGTGATCTCCATCCAGTCGGATCATTAAGGGTTGTTGACCGTTTCTCATTCTGAACAGGACCTTCTCCGTGGTGGAGCCTGTCGCCGAGACCCGGGCAGGGTCACTTGAGGAAAGTGAGCGGAGCGTGGGCCGTGCTGGGAGCTGAAGGACGAGCGAGCTGTCCAGCAGGCCCAGCGATCAAGTCTGGGCACTGGAAATGCTCCAGATGTGGAGCTGCCTCACTCTCAAGTGCCTCCCCGGGAAAGGGACAATGACAGAACTGTGGCACTGGCTCTGGTGACAGCCTGGTCTCCGTATAATTCAGGGACAGTGGCATCCCAGAAAATGTCCTCAGACTTAGCAGGATTCAGAAACGTGGCTCCTGCCCACCGCCGTGATGCTTTACCCAGGCCTATCAGCAGAGGGCAGTATCGGATTGTGAAAATGTTTCCAGCGCTTCCCTGGTGGGCAGGTAGCTTAAACCTTGCTTTTTTGCACTGGCTGTTTTAAATCTGTATGAACTGCAGAGAGCTTCCAGCGTGGAGGGTTTGATGGTGATGATGATCCGGCCCGAAGTAAGGCTCCATGTCCATGAATAACTTTACAAAGCAAACTGCTCAAAGACAGCAAGTTTGTGCCCCAGTGCTCTGAGTAGAGTGCGCGTACCCAGGTGCCCTTCCTGATCTGACATGATCCGAAGGGGTGTCTGCACAGGGGCCACTCGAGCCACCGAACGACAGCCAGGGGAGGGACGGCAGAGCAGAAAGAGCCACGAGATCATGGGCAGGACTCGCCAACTTCGTGGAACAAAAACCGTGAGTTTTACTTTTGCCTTAACATCGCAACTTCTCTTTTTAAAGGAGGAAGTGTAATCAAGGAAGTCGTTTTCCCAAATGGTATACCAATTGCCCAGGTGCCAAGCTCCCGCAGCTGGTAACTGACTGACTTCTCAGCATCATGAAATGTCTTTACAATTTAAAGGGGGTGGGGTGGGGGGAGTAATTGCAATATTTTTGGTACAAATCCTAAGACTTATAGCTCTAGTTCGTTAAAAAAAAAAATAGTAATAATGGTGCCAAATGAGAATTCAACAAAACGGAAAATCACCTAATTACGTCCCGAAAGCTGTAATTCCCCGATATTAATGGCAGACTTGACAGAGATTAAATCGCACATGTGTTTACCTTCATGGAAGCTTTCAGCTCGGATGCGTCATACTGAGCAGGTGTTTTCAATAGGCCTAAAATCACTGTCTCCAGGTGGCCAGATAAGGCTGACTTCAGGGCTGATGGAAGTTCCTGCAGAAAAAAGCAGGCCAGCACATGGAAAACTTGGTCAGTAACCAGTCAGTTGGTGCATGAGCCCCAAGAAACAAGGGTCTGTTGACACAGCAGAAGGTGAGTGCTTGGCCACTCTAGGGTCCCTGGTCAAGGTCAAACTAGCCCTCAAGGGTATGCCCATCGAGAGACCAGAAGTCAGAGACCGAGGGATGGGTCTTTCTTTAACAAAACTTCCTGAAGCCCAAGCTGATGTGCTTCCTGCTCCGGTCACTGAAGCAGGAAGCAGAACATGGTGCAGGGTGTGAAGGTGTTTTATCTACAACAGGCTTGCAAGTCATACTAGCAGGGCTGCTGGACGTCGCCTCGATGGCAGTGAGTTTGATTTTGGACATCATAAGGCTCTGAGGAGACAGGGCGCTTCCTGGGGCCCAGGGCCCTGCTAAGGAGGAGGATTGGGATTGGATAGCCTCCCGCATCTTCTGGGAAGATGTGATTATCTTGGAGTGGCTCTTAAATGACCCCAAGAAACTCATGGCCCCCAGAGGGCCGGAAGTTCGGGTCATGAAACTGTGTTTGCAAAACACTTCGCCCCTGACTGAGAAAACACCCATCTTGCCCCAGCCAAATTGGGGTGCTCTTGATGGAGATGGTGGGGGACGAATGGCCCCCAAGCACGCCCAGGATGTCCCCACTGCCACCATTAGCCCAAGGCTAGTCAGAGGTCACCCGGGAGCATGACCCTGTACGTCCATCCACTATGGCTCTTAAAGATGCTTCTTGGGGATTAGGCTTCCTGCAAGAGACAGGCAAGCATGGCATTGGGTGACGACAGGTGCTTCCCATCAGCATAATTCCCCTCTTTCCCCTTCCCACCCCCCCCTCCCTATCTTGTGCTCCTACTTTCCAGTAGCATCCCATGACATCTACAATGTTTAGTCCCCTTGAACTCCTTGCAGGCTATTAGAGGTGGTTTTCAATTTCCCTCAGAGAGAAACTTCTGGAATCATTCATGGGCATCAAGAGTCTTAGAAACACACGGATCTTAGGAATCATCTGGCCCAGCCCTTTAAGCACCTACTTTGCGACACTCGTAACACCCAGCACTTGCCTCCGGACTTTAAAAAGCAGCACCTCCCCATCATGCCACCAAGTTTCCAATTTTGAGGTCAGCTAATTCCAGACTTAGCCTACACTTCACACTGCGCTCTGCCATTCTCATGCCCATGATATTTTCTCAAGCCTCAAATGGCATTTGGACACCTACTAATTCCTTCCACTTCCCTAAGAAGTGGGACTGTTAGGGGTTATTCCCACTCTTGTTCCTCATATCGTCTAGCACAGAGCTCTGCACATAACAGAAATTCCAGAAGCACACGAAGAACAGAGCAGAAGCCCAATGGCAGACCTGGCCTCTGCTTGACTCTGAAAGCAGCACAAAACCCGCCCTCCCTCCTGGGCTCTGCTCTGGTACTCCACGGGCCCACGCTCGTTGCCCTAAGGCCCAGGCAACATCCACCCGCCTCTGTCTTGCAAACCACCCCAACCCCTTCAGAAAGTGTCTGGGGTAGTTTATCAAGATGACATGTTCTTGACTCAAGGCTAAGGACTATCAAGGAAGGGCAGGGCCGTGTGCTGTCCCTGACAACAGCTGGGAAAGTCACTGGACCCCAGCCGGAATCAGCCCTCCAAGAGGGTCTGTGGGGGGTTTGTTCTCCACCCATGTAATTTGAAACCAAGATCCAGGCTTCTCTATTTGTGTGCACATCCATCGGCCCAAGTTTGTTCCAAGACCATGGTCTTTAAGTGGCAGCTGAAGGAACAGGTGTGTGTGTGTGTGTGTGTGTGTGTGTGTGTGTGTGTGTATGAGTCTGGGTACTTTAGAGAAACAAATCCACAGAAAACTCATGTATAAGAGCTCCCCGCAGAGATTACTATCACCTACTTGGAAGGAAAATGTTAATGTCCATAAGCTGAAAGAAGCCAGGCGCTTCCTATTTATGTCCTCGCCACCTGTGTCCCAGGGAGCGCAGTACCCGGCTGGACCTACAACTGCCAAGGGCAGACATTCCTGTCTCTGGCAGGAATGAACTCCTTGCAGCTCAGCTGCACCGCGGCTAAGAGCGAAAGCCCTAAATCACACGGAGGCTGCAGGAAGCTGCGCTTACTGTACCATCCAAAAACAAAGCGAAAGCTTAAAATAGCCAGAAGTTAAAAATACAGCAGCTCGTCCTTAAAAATGTAATTCCCTAACACCGCGACAAAAAACAGAAGGGGCTAGCCCGGAGCTGTTCCCTAACCTCTCAGAAAACGCCCACAGAGTCTCTATGAACAGCGGGAGTCTGGCCTGTTGAAGATAACCTGGTAGACCAGATGAACTGCCAAGGAAGCCCATTATTTGTCACCCACGCTCTTCAAAATTAAAGCGTATCTTTGAAGAAGTCAAGGAGTACGTCAAGACCAATACGGAGTGGAGGGCCTTCGGATTAAATGGCCCATGTCTTAGCAAGCATCAGCAGAAGTCATGAGGATGTGTAGCTAAACGTGGACACTTTAATGCGTGCAATGCTTGGAACAAAGTAAGCGCTCAGTGAATGTTATTTGCCGTGGCTGTCATGGTAGCCTCACCCCTGCCACCCAAAAATGTCCTGTCCTAACCCCTGGAGTCCGGAACCTTATTGGAAACAGAGTCTTTGCCAATGTATTTAAGTTCACAGTCTGAGGAGGGGCTCCTCGTGGGTTAGCCCGGTGAGCGCAACATGCGATGTTAATGGTCTTGGTAAGAGACAGAAGGTAAGCCACGTAAGAGAGAAGACCGCAGGAAGATGCAGGTAGAGGTTGAAGGTGCACAGCCATAAGCCAAGGCATTCTGCGAAAAGGCAAGATAGAGTTTCCCCTCGATGCCCTCAGAAGAAATATAGCTCAGCCAGGACCTTGATTCCAGACTTCTGGTCTCCAGAACTGCGTGAGGACATGTTCACCCAGCACCGCTCCCTCCACACACTCTGGGTGGGAGAATGGGTCTGTGTCTTTACGCACAAGCCCCCAGCACCCCAGGGGCCAGGTATGTAGAAGGAGTGCCTCTTGCTCAGACGAAAGATGACATGGTCGCCCAAGTATCCCAGGAGGTTCTTGCTGGTGGGGAGCCAAAGGTCATTAAAAGACAATGGCTAAGAAAATTAAACTCAACAACCAATGCCCTCCACGCCTGAAACTCCCTGTGTCTTTTTGTTTGTGTGTTCTAATAAGTCTTTAGTTACAAAACAAAGAACAGATACGCCGACCAAATGTAGCCCTAGTGGCCTTGTGGCACAGCTTCGGCTCTCCGTCAGCCAGCATTCCAAGGCACAGTGACGTTGTACATATAAGGTCTTCCTGTTCCTCGGGGAAGCGGCCTACCTTTTTGGTCCTTCGATGGTAGGCGAAGGCAATGTCTTGTCTCTGTTCATTGCTGCGGTTGGTCAAAATGTTGACGATGGTGACCTCATCCACACCTGTGAAAATATAATTCGGGGATCCTCACTCAGCCGCTGGCCACAGGACTTGAGTTTTACCACCTGGGAGGTCTACTATTTTCCAAACTGAAATACCAGGACATGAAGATTTGTTCTTGCTTTGGTCTGTACCCTCAGGGTACACCCACTGGGTGCACCCTTCCTGTTTTTTCTTTCCTGACAGCCTCAGGCTTCAAGCCTAAAGGGAACTTTTCAATATGTGTATATAAACTCACACCTATTCTATTTGCAGATGGGTTTCTGGGTGCCACGGTAAGTGGTGCATTTGTGAAGCTGTGGCAGTCAGATGGAACAACAAAGATTTAGTAGGGTTTTAAATGAAGGTCCTCAAATTGCCATTTAAGTGGGATTTAATAGACAGTAACTGCGGACTGAATTAATAGAGACAATTATTTATATTTATTGCCAGATTCCAGCGATATAAGCAGCTAGGTATAATTTCTATAATTATAGAAACTGTCATGACAAATGAGTCAGATTTAATATGGCAGTTGTATTTTAATAGCATAATTGATTAATACAATCGTACTTATTGAAGACCAAATTGTTTCGGAAGGAAAATAAACGTTCCACTGCTTTTTAATCTTCAATAGGCAATTTTAATAATCAATTTCACAACTATATTAAAAAAGAGTAAGTGTTTTAATCTAAATTAAATCTAAATTGGGAGTTCTGAAGTGCCACCAAAATATTTTAATACCTATTTTAATTGGAACATGTGTATTTACAAAGATAAGCAATGCCTCCTGGCATCTGGAAGTTTCCAATTTTGTAGCGGACACACTCCACACATGCCATTTAACGTAAAGAAAGCACAATGTGATGAAGCTGGCGTGTGAAAGATCTCTCTCCTGATGGGCTATGAACTTGGCCTAATAAAAGGAAAGGCTTGGCCATAACGGGATATGGAATTCTTAGTGGGAAGGCAACGGGTTCACACTCACACTAGTCTTTCTACAGATTCCTGCAGGCCATCAGAGGGAGCCCTTGGGTCCTGACAGAAAGGTTAGAACCTTGACAGAGGGTAGGTCGTCATTCTCAAGTGTGTCAGAAACCCTGAGAAGCAGAAGGTCAGAATTTCTGGGTATAAAAACAAAAGACGCTTCAGCGTTAACTGTACCTCCTGTTGCAATTTTAGCTCTGATTTTCAAAGTCCCTCGGGGACACAAAAGAGCCTAATACTGAGACAGTTCCAAAGATGCTTCTTTCAGCATCGTCTATAATCCCCAAGAATAAAGAGAAAGCGTGTCCCGCAAAAAGACATCAGTTGACTAAATGTTCCTTTGACCAAACAACGGGGTACACTGCAGCCATTTAAAATGACAGCACAAGAGCTTTCACCGATGTGGGAAATGACCATTCACATCAGATTGCCAATGAAAACACACAACACAAGGCACCATGCACACGATATCACCTTGTTTTTGTGAAATGCAAACACACACATAATAAGGAGAAGCCTTTATGTGAAATATTCAGGAGGGATCTGAAGAGTGTGATCGTTTATCATTGACATGGTCTTTGTTTTTATTTTTATTAGCCTGGGTGGCTTAGTGGTTATGCACTGGGTAGCATGTATGTACCGGGTTACTAACCGAGGGGTCAGCAGTTCAAAAGCACCAGCCACTCCTCAGGAGAAAGATAAGACTTTCTGCTCCGTGAACACCGAGGCCTTGGAAGCCCACAGGGGGGTTTAATTCAGAGGATCCAAGCGACGCAATAAAGCAAATGGTGAGAGAAAGGGAATCGGCAACTCTGGTGTCCAAGTGCATCGGAAAGCTGCGTCCACCCTACACTGGAGCCTATCAAGTGGTGTGACAGCACCGTGACAGAGTGTGAAATATTAGGAGAACTTCCAAAATTTGACCCAGAGGCACAGACGGCATGAGCACATGCTGTTGGAAAAAGGACACCGCCGGACTTGCTCCAGGCAGAGTGGACACAGGCCTTCCTTTTGTGAGAAGACAGCAGTGGTGTAGAGAGCACACGGAGGGATGTCTGTCAACCTTCACACGAGGGCGCCTGCCCTCCTCACACACAAGAAGTCCACTCTCCAGGGGCAGCTTGGATCTGCTTGGAGTGTTGAGGGATAGAATCAAGTTCTAACTCGGACATCGTTTCACTTGGACACAGCAGACCCATCTCTCCTAAGACTCTGTTACTTCCCCCTCTCCTCTCTTTCGGTCTCAAAAATTCTATGGCTCTAACTTTAAGTGAAGACATGTTGGCACAACAGCAAAGCACTCAGCTGCTAACCAAGAGGTTGGCAGTTTGAATCCACCTTGGGTACACCCTTCCTAGTTATGGGCGATCTGATCCCATCAATATTAAAACCCAGAAACCCCTAGGGAGAGCCCTGATGGCAAAGCAGGTTACACATTGAGCTGCTAACCACAAGGTCAGCAGTTCCAATCCACCAACTGCTCTGCAGGAGAAATATGAGGCTGTCTACTCCTGTAAAGACTTAAAGTCTCCAAAACCCCAAGGGGCAGTTCCACCCTGTCCTACCGCATTGCTATGAGTCAACACAAGGGCAGTGAGTCTGGTCTGGGGCAGTCTACTCTGTGGCCTAGGGTTCTATGATTTGGCATTGAGTCCCTGGTCCTTAACGATAACAATTTTGCATCACAAAAAGCACTGTTTATATAGGTGTGTGTGCCTTGCCCTTTAACGGTATTACCCAAGTGTGAATGCTGAAGAAACCCAACAAAACACAGCGATGTCCTCTAACCACAAGGCCAAGGTTTCCTACAAACAGTTCAGCGGTCACCACCCTGAGCACATTGACTCACAGTACACACAGTGACCCGAATGAAACACTGACTCAGACGGGAGTTATTCTCTCTGGGAAACCCGAGTAAACGTTATGTGTGTGTGGGAAGGAGGCCCTGGCCAAGCTGCATTAGGCTCCCATGAAGTCGGTATGCATTTAAAACACAGTCGCCTAAGCCCTACCTACTCATGAAGACGGTCCTTAGGCTTGGGATCCAGGAAGCACAACTTCAACAAGCTCCCTGGTAATGACGAGAGATGCAGTTATGGGTGGGAACTGCCAAGGTCCCCAGAAGTCTGCCTACACGCAACACCGCTAGGTCACTTCCAACTACTGCTTCTGTGAGGTATGACATCTACTTCAGTTTTAGGGACAGAAATGCCCGCCTTTGCGCAGACGTCTCAGGTAAGAACCAGCAGCCGACGAGAGCTCACTCCCCACGTCAGCACAAACCCACACTCTGTGACCAGAAAGCAGCTCCTAGCCTTTCTTCCGCAGTCCGAGATGCTGAGCGCCTCCCCAACAGAGTGGGGGTGCGATCCAATTCCTGGAAATCCCTGTAAAGAGCTCTGGTGGTGAACCCACGTCTCACTTAAGAGGCAGCATTAACTATGGTCTGAAGGAATCTAAATGTATTTTACCTAAATTATTTACCGAGCAAACAGCCTGCCGAGATGCAGCACGGCGCATGCTGGGACCGTCTATGAGTGAGCGAGCTGGTCCATCCCAAAATGCTAGTGCCAGGAACCAAGAAATTCAATGGAGGCCACTGGTCCATGTGGCGAGGCCCCCTGGGAAACTCTCCTGAATCGGCTCTCTCTGTCCATTGTCTGTGTGTTTCAAATGGAACAGGAAAGGGGGCAGAATCTTGGGGCCCAAATAAGCATGCTCCCTCCTACACCAGAACAACAGAAGGTAACTGACGCAGATCTGCCGGTGGGGGTGCACCCATCGTATCTTCAGACCACTGCTGTTTCCTCTTGACCCGCCACCACAATGGGTAAGCCTGTCTGTTCCTGCCGAAAATCGCTCAGGACAGGTGGAAGCTGCCAGGGCCATCCAGTTCCTCCCCCTCTCTGCACAGGATGCAGCTGAGGGATGAGGGCGGAATGCTCAGCCAGGGGTGTCAGCACAATCACCATCCGCACGGTGCCTGAGTGCCAGCGAGCAAGCAGGGCTCTCGGCGCGGCCTCCTTCCTGCCGGTGGCCCAGACGCCCCAGAGACAGAGCTCTGTGGGCGTTGTGTACTTTCAGACCGCTCCCATTCCAATCACCAGGAAAGTGTTTGCGAAGGGGCCAGGAGGCACTGTGGATGGGGCAGAGGTGAGAGAATCGAAAACCAAATTCACTGCCACCCAGTCAATTCGGACTCACAGTGTCCATGCAGGGCAGAGTAGAACTGCCCCAGGCTGGAAATCCCTAGAGAAAGCTTCTTCACCTTTCTCCCACGAAGCAACTGGTGGGCTTGAACTGCTGACTCTGTGGGGAGGAGCTCAACATGTCCTCCAGTTTAAAATGATGGCTGAGTCCCAAACCACAAACCCAGCCTCCTGGAGTTTGCTCCTGCTCTCTGAGGGTGGAAACCCCAACTCAGCTCCCTGGCACCCCACGGAAAATGTGTGTCCTTGTTGTCCATGGCAGGGAACCAACGGGCCATTCTGAACAGGATGCTGACTCACAGCTGCCGGGACCCACTGACTGCACAGAGAGAAAGAATTTCATGGCAGGGTGCTGAGGGGTCCCAGGGGCTCCGGGCTGCAGACTCCCACGCTGGGAAGGAAAGGAAAAGTGCCCAGATCCTCTCAACAAAGCAGGACTCCGCTTAGATTAATGACTGGAGATATCGTCTGGCCTCAGATGAAAATCCTCGGTACAAGTAGGTCAGAGGCCAAAAATAATGGAGAGGACCACAAATCCACGGATGTCTCTTGTGGTCACGTTATTTATTTTAATACTAACAACTCCATGACTCGGTATCTGCCGTGTGCCAAGAATCCCTGGATGGTGCAATGGGGAAGACCTCAGCTAACTGCAAAGTTAGACGCCACTGGCTAGAGGCACCCACCCACCAAGAGGTGCCACCGAACACAGGTCTGGTGATCTACTTTGTAACAGATCAGCCATTGGAGACCCTGTGTAGCATAGTTCTCCTTGGACACAGGTGGGGTTGCCAGGAGTAGGGGCTGGCTTGACTGCAGCTGGGTTT